TGAGATACGATCTGCCTCACAACTGCCAGCATGTTAACCAAGAAATATATCTGCACCCGCTACACAGGCTGACTAACGGAGAGAGAGAGATATGCACTCCTCCATGAAGCAAAAGGACGAGGGCTGCATCGTGAAGATCGAGCCATTAAAGCAGCAACCAGTCCTTAACCCTTTAAACTGTAACGACGACAATAGTCGTTTTATAAGAAATGGTTTAATTCAGGAGTACGACAAAAGTCGTCCTAAAAAATCGTGGTCATGGCGCGGAAGGACGACAATTGTGGTTTCTAGGAGGTCGTTGATTTTCACCATTTTCTCTCCGCGACCTAAAATTTGTTGAAATTTTGAGGGATTTCTCCTATGCCAACACAATGCTAAATTTGAAGATTTTCTAGCCAAAAATTTGGATATTTCCCTATACAACGCAATGTTAAATTTTGGATTTTTCAGTTTTTCGAGTTTTATTAAAAACTCCGGAATTTCCCCTCCCTCGCCATGACCACAACATACTTATAGTGTCCCCGATTTAATGCATTTTCTTGTCGTTAATCATACACGTTAAAGGGTTAAGAAGGTTCCACTTACATTCTTGCAACTACTACATTTTCCAGTGCGTCGTCCTCTTCCGGCTTGTCTGCATTTACTCCATCGCAACTTTAGAGAAAGGAATTGGGAACAGATTACGACAAATTCTTCACTTTCTCTTCTCCTCGAATTTTTCATACAAAATAAGAATGAAACTTATTGTTATGTGCAAACTGATGAAAAATAATGGAGAATATACAAAATGCAAATTACTTTCACCCCTTTGTTCACAAAATTTAAAATGTCTCCAGCGATGAATTTATTATTTATCGAACCCGATTCATTATTATTACTTATTCAGATTTAGATTTAAGCACACTCTTATATACTAAAATCGGAAAAATGTACATAATATTCCAGCCATATTTACTTCACAAAACATCGTCCAGGATAGGAAATCCCAAGTAAATAACTTTCTCTACGCACAGATAGGCTTGTAAAAAGTATGGATTCTGCAGCATCAGCTTATTCCTTCGTCTTTTTGGCTGGGTTGCTCAATGAGCGTGAAGTGAACCTTCCAGAGAAACAACAGGGACGCGACTTTCATCCGGAATTAGCCAGCCACAAAAAGAATACGAGTTTATTTATCCTGCACACCAAGTTAGCGCTGTGCTCCTTCTGGCTCTGTTGGTTTTGCTGGCTGGATTTCTCCTACGAGATTCCCCTCCTCGTACATATTTATACCGAGATCTGTGTGCTTTCTCTGGACACAAAGTGAATTCCAGATCATCATCAAAATAAGGGATCAATCATCAAAACCAAAACCAAACTCGGGCAGAAAAGTGTTCCATAATAAATAAACTAGTTGTTCAGAGACTTTCTCTCCTACTAGGAAACCTACACTCTTAGAAATCTAAAGCACTTTTCGGTGTTAAAGATGGTAGTAAAATTATACCAGCCTGTAACAGTTTCCTCTCGATATGAGTAAACTTTAACCTCTTTCGGACTACCAATATTTAAATAAAATTTCCCTTCGGTACGATTTTAATTTTATAATTACACCTGATAGCAACCAATTAAAATTTCCTACCAGTTTGCAATACTCGAGTTTTTGACGAAAAACACGAAAATTCCACTTTTTAACATTGGTAGGTATAGGGAAAATTCCAAAATTTTGGGTGAAAAATATAAAAAAAATCTACTTTTCACCATCGAGTTTTCCACAAAATACCGAAGAAATATTCTTTTTTTAAGAAATTTTGGTGTGAAGGAAATTTCTGCAGTACACACATTTGTGTATTTCGTCGTCAACGGAAAAATATAATACTACACAAATGTGTGTACTTCGCCGTGAACGGAAAATAAAATAACTACACAAATGTATGTACTTCGTCGTTAAGAAGTTAATACCGAGCTGTTACTATACGGCATTACTTATCAATACCACTTTGGCAGAGTCATATACTAGGTGGCCCACTGAAACTGTAAGTGAAATGAAACCCTGTGACTTTAACAGTTTTTATGTTACGAATTTCTAGTTAATTTTAACTGAAAGCCAGTTAATTTCTGAGTAGAAAAAAATTTTTAGTTTTCGAAATTTCCTCCCTCGACGTTAACGCAGCCCTACAGAAACCGCCTGCAGTCCTCCGCTGAAGCACGCACTAATTCCTGGGCATAGTGTTCCATTCCGTGGTCAAAAATTTTTTTCGGATCCCTAGACTTCTATGAGACTTAGAACACACGTTTGCCCCTAACTTTGACCATTTTTCATAATCTGGAGATTCAAATCCTGAAAGTAGAATTACCATTTCCAAGTGGATGTAAAGCTCGGAATTTTTACACACGCTTGGGTCATTTTTTGAACTATAAGCTCTTGCTGAGTCGTACTCCAAGGTCCATTCGACTTCAATGAATTGGATCTCACTTAGGGGATGTAGCAGGGACTCGAAAACGTATTTTAAGAAATTTGATCCCCCCACCCTCCCCCCAGTTTCAACAAAATATAGAGGAATTACCCCAATTTGCTCCCACCTACCAAAATCATGACAAAACCTGGATAATGTGGCTTTCTGACCTTTTGTCTATATTGGGGGATGTCTCTGACAGATTTGGCGTAGATTAGGCCAACTCGCTTGTTAAAAGATTTTTCCGATGTGATAATCTCCTCATCTGTAAATAGAATCATCTTCACTTTTTTGGGGCGTACCGCTTGAGGTTACTCCAGGCTTTATTTAATCTGGTTTTCCTTTGGGGAATGATCGGCATATGGCAAGTACCACATTTCAAAGTCCTAAGTCTAAGGTTCAATTTGAGTGCTCATTGGATAATCTGCTTCTACACTGTCAGCTGTGAGGTTGGTTTCCGTTGGAATTTCGTGAATTTCTTCGGATTCCAACTTTCAGCGCCTTCATGATGGGTGTGGTCTTTGTACGATTTCAAAAAATCTTTCTTCGACTGTTCTTAGTCGACCCGGTCCCCATGAACGTTATTATAGTCCATTGGACTAAATTATAGTGCACGTTCGATTTCCGCCACACTTTTAAAATTTACCATTTCTCTCCCCATTTTTGTAGTGAAAAATTTTCGCCGCCCGCTTCCAATCAATATTTTCCATGCTAATTTGCTTTGCAAGTAGTAAAAAACTGATTAGTGGTTCTTATGCAAAATCGCACGGGGAATCCAATGCACTCATCAGATTTTCATTATCTCTAGCCGTTTCGAAGAAAACAGCTACTTACAGCTACAGTGGGCCCAGTAAGTATGAACACGGCTTGGTTGGTATTATTTTAATACCGCATTTCTAAGAGTGTACTTGTACACCTACACAGAGATTAAGACACGCTAGACTAATTCCACTTGAAAGAGAATTCTGATAATTTCAAAATGTAGTCAAACAAAATTGACTGACGGGAATTAGATAAAATTTTTTGTATGCTGTAACTGCCCTTTGGAAATGTAAAAATTTCATTTAAACCAAAAGTTAAAATAGAAATTTGAATCCGTTCATACCGAGTTAATTTAGAATTTTAACTGTGATTAACTTATACCAACCACAAATTTATGACAAGCTTTAAAGCAAATATTGATAATCCACCCACCAAAAATATGTCACTCCCACAGAAATATCATGGATATACTAATTTGTAACTGAAATGACGGACGGAATGAGGTTGCCGTATTATATTTATCGCATACAAAATATAATTCGCCATCATGAAAATTCAATGTGATTCAAATTCGCGGAGGCTTAAATGGGTTTGCAATGTCGCTTTCTCACCTTATCTGCCCTCCTTCTCGGCTGCTTCGTTGAGCAATATTATTTCGGCTAAAGTGCCCGTCTATCATTCATTCCGCTCTCCGCATCCTCCTCTCTAATTAGAACGGAAGGCTTGTCACAGACGCGCAGTGGCCGCGGAAAGGTTGGGACGGAGGGGGACAATGTTCCCAAGGTTTCCCCATCATCTCCCCATCTTATATAAACCCCTTCCTCCCCTATCCTACGACCATGTTAATGTATACACTCAAAATAAGGTGGTAATAAATCATTACCATGCGGAATCACTATATGTCTCTACCACTTCGGTTACGATTTGTAGTAGAAATGGTAATAATAAGTTCAGGGAAATTCAAATTTAATACATAATGGTATTCACTTCCTTAATATTTGGTAATGAATTCGAATTTCCCTGAACTTATCATTACCATTTCTACGACAAATCGTAACCAACATGGTAGAGCCACATAGTCATTCCACATGGTAATGATTCATTACTACCTTATTTTGAGTGTACCCACCTGTCCCCAGGGCTTCCGGCGCCACTGCAGACCGCTTTACTCGGGCAGCATCAAAAGTACCGAGTTGACTCTCGTCCTTACAATGGCGGACTCGTCGTTACTTTAATGGGTTTAAAATTGCTTAAGTGGTTTCACAATTATTCACTGCGATGAATGCGTTCCTGTTTCCATTGTGAAATTTAAACGTCGCTACGTAAAACCAAATGTGTAGCTTGAATAAACCGAGTTATACAATGCTACGTAAAATAAAGCACGTGTATATATTTCGCAATTGTAAATTACTCAAATTTGCGATACGCTTTACCTGCGTGCGGGGATCTACTACACTCTTATTAGGCAACTGGTATTAACTGGTCGGAGTACACATCGGCATCGGTAATATCGACTAGAAATGTGGTAGTAATTAAATATTTACCACTCGGAAACAAACGATAACTACTCCAGTAGTGAATTATTACCAAATCAATACCAGAAAGGTACGTATGCCCTTCTACCGGATGCTTTACGCAGTAAATTTCGCACAAGAGAGAGTTTCAGTCATGTGAATCGTAAATTCTTCTAAGTCTCGAACCCAAATGAAATTTCGAATTTTACGAAAAAATATAAATGGCGCATCATTTATGAACAAATTCTTCGAAATTATATGCAAATTATATGTAAATTCCTTCTTTTTTTATCAGGGATGAGTGCCCGCCTCGGAGTGATTCCTACGCGGAGAAAGGCACCTCTCGACTACGCCTCAGACTCAGAAGCGATGAACTATCCTAGCGGGATCCGTGCCGCGCTTCCCGCCGCGACCCGAAGGTCCCTCGGACTAACCAACGGGAGGAGCAACTCCCTCCCACGTGACCTCATCCGCGGTCGAGGCGGGAGAAAGCATAACGTCCGCTTTGACAACAAGCGGGGAACGGTTGACCTTGGTGCCACTTCGAGCATGGCGGGACGACGCGCCCTGCTCCTCGCGGCGGGAATGGACAGTCAAGACGAAAGTGATGGTGCTCTCTCCGCTCCGGAAATGCCCCTCACGCCCAGGAGGGAACAAGGTCGGTTGCTCAGAAATTTTTGCACTTTCACCAAAAACTTTCACTCCAAATATTTCGTTAAGTTGGTAAAAAAAACGCTCCTTGGAGCTAATTTCACGAAACGTTTGGCGGAAGAGAAAGTACAAATTGCCAGAGGGCGGATATGTATTTATTTTCAACTTTTTCATCTGATGACGACCGATAGTCAAACTTTGTCAGTGTGTTCCTTACTTTAACAGATTACAAAAATTTCAACTTATTTTTATACATTTCTAAATTTTCAGAAATAAATATCCCGCCAATATTTGCAAATTATGTGCATAATCTGTTACATATTTGTTCAACAATATATATTTTGTAAATAATTTAACAATTTGAGACCAAGTTTATTTTGCTTAAAGATATCGGACCACAAAAATTACAGTGCTGAGTATATTTTTTAAAAAAATTTGCAAAAATTCTTATTTTATATTTTTTCGTACTCCTTTCCCTAATACTAAATCAAATTTCATTAATTTTTGGTAAATACGTATCCGCCCTGTGCAAATTACACTAGACAACAAAAAAAGCTTTCTTCGTGTTCGATTTCTTATTCTTCTTTCACTTTCACTTTTCCCCTTCATCACTTTCCCAATGAGGACTGCGTGTCGCCCTGTCTTGTTTTCCCTCTCTCTCCCACCAACAAACTTTCTCCGGCTCATTTATTCCTGTCCACTCTCGCCACTTAACTCCTTTCTCTCCATTCCCAATAAGTCCCCGGAGGCACAAAAGAGTGACCCATTTTCAATCCGAAACATTCCCCATCCTCGAAACATTACACTCAAAATAAGGTAGTAATGAATCATTACCATGCGGAATCAATATGTGGCTCTACCACGTCAGTTACGATTTGTCGTAGAAATGGTAATAATAAGTTCAGGGAAATTCAAATTTAATACATAATGGTATTCACTTCCTTAATATTTGGTAATGAATTTGAATTTCCCTGAAATTATTGTTACCATTTCTACGACAAATCGTAACCCACGTGGTAGAGACACATAGTCATTCCGCATGGTAATGATTCATTACTACCTTATTTTGAGTGTAGTTTACAATGGAGGTCTCCCAGCTTATGCCCTCCGATTTTGAGAAAATTAGTCTCAATCAATCACAAATTTAATTAATTTTTAATCTGAACAAAGTTTCCATCTCCCAGTGTGTAAGTGGTTTCGCGGAGATATTTGCATCGGAAGAGGAGAAAAGCACCCAAAAACTTGACAAATTTTAAACTCCAAATTTAAGGAGCCTCTTCTCCTCTTCGGATGCCAATATCTCTGTAAAACCTGCACAAAATTTCAAATTAATTCAACTTATGACCGATTGGAACTAGTTTGCTCAAAATCGGAAAACCTCCATTGTAAGACAGCTACTGGACCGCATTACTCCGTCCCGAGTTGACTATTGCCCGTTATAAAAGATAAACAGTCGTCCCAATAAAATTTCCAATTTGCCACCACCAATTTCTCATTTATGGCACATTTTCCACTTAAGAAAGACTTTGACAATAAAGCCGATTGGAGCCAGACCAGCCCGAACTTCAAAGAAGCCAGATCCCCAAAAATAGAGGCATAAAAAGAGGCCGTCGTGGCGGCGGTGGAGGAGTGGAAAAAAGTGCGAAAACTAATTTCCGTTCTGCGAAGAGAGACGCCACTTGGTCTTAAATGGGTCCAAATTGTTCTTTAAATGTCCATGTGTCCTGGGCTGGCAGGAAGTGTTGCTCATCTCATCAGCCCAAAAACACTTTCGCTGTCCCTGTCCGTCTCTCTCCTCGCTCTTTCACCCTCAATCTCCCTCCACTCCTGCTCCTCTAAATAGATCAGGGTTCGCAAAAACCCCGGGTTTTAATAAAACTACGACCCCTGGGTTTACTGGATTTTATTGGGTTTTATTTAAGTAATAAACGCAACAAAATTATTTTTCCAACTATTACAAATCTAACTTTAATTATATGGAATCCTGTTATACATTAGTTGGTTCCGGAATTAGTTTTTTGTATTAATTAAAACCTCTGATGGTGTAGATTGCTGATTTATTTAGGGTTTTATTAGAGAATGACAATATTAATAAAATAAACTACATTGAAGAAAAAAAACTCTTTCTAATGTATGAGAGATGTGGTTTTAGGATGCATTTTTAATGCAAACCCAATTGAAACCCATACTAAAACCTAAAACAACCCAAACAAATCACGCTTACCATTATATGTACACTCAAAATAAGGTAGCAATGAATCATTACCATGCGGAATGACTATGCGGCTCTACCACGTCGGTTACGATTTGTCGTAGAAATGGTAATAATAAGTTTAGGGAAATTCAAATTTAATACATAATGGTATTAACTTCCTTAATATTTGGTAATGAATTTGAATTTCCCTCAACTCATTATTACCATTTCTACGACAAATCGTAACCGACGTGGTAGAGACACAAGGTGATTCCGCATGGTAATGATTCATTACTACCTTATTTTGAATGTAAATACAACCCAATTGGTTTTATTCGTTTGCCAAAAACCCAAAAAACCCACCCCAATAAAACATTGGCCAAGATAGTCGTCCTCTCTCCTGTCGCGACATGTTTGCCAGCAGGGCAGACTTGTTTGCAGTGCTAGGCGACACACAGACTTGTGTTAAGCATGGAATTATAGAGACTCGTCTTTTACAACTTTCTCTCTCCCCCCATTAAATCACCATTTGTCTCCTTGCTTTTGATCCGCCACTGCCAGTCTCACTTTCTCCAGCCGATTTTCCCATCACAAAATTCTAATTCGACCAATCTTTTATCCTCCCTCGTCTGCCTGCTCCTCTCATAACTAACTTTCCCCATATTTCACTCCTGCCCCACTTTCACCACAAAAAAAGACGACACGATCCTTACATAAGTCCATTGCTTAACCCAGTGACCCCGGAAGCCGTGGAGACACTAACATTGAGGCAATTCACGCAGACCTTTGTAACTTTGTAAATTAACTTTACAACTTTTTGAAAAATCATGAGACACCCTTGGTCTGATTTTACAAGCTTGCAAAAAATGTGTAAGCTGATTTCCATTCGAAATATGACTACAATTTTGCAAGTTTATAAACTTACGGATTTTACAACGTTACCCAGGACTGCGTGAATTGTCGGATGGGTTTATCAGTAATTCGTTTCTTGCGGGTTTTTCTCATATTTTGCACTGCAAAGCAAGAAATGCAAGAAACGCAAGGTGCAAGAAATGCAAGAAAGTGCAAGAAAAACAGAGCCATCTAGCGACGAGCCTACAGAACAATGGCGGTGGGAAGTAGTTTCTTGCACTTTGCATTTCTTGCGGGTAAAAATAGCTGCAAGAAACCAATTTCTTGCGGTTATTTCTTGCAGGTGGTTACTTGCACCCGAAACACTGGGGTTTATACAATAAGCGTAGATGATGAGGATACCTAGTAACCGTTGGGACATTGTCCCTCTGTCCGCGGCCACTGACCTAACCTACTTTCACCCAATCCAATTTCTTATTATTATGTACGAATGACTATGATTTTGTGGATGTATTGAGCATGCGAATTTTGCTGCACCACTGCTTCTTGCACTTGCTCAGGCGGGGGTGTGGTCATTGATGCTTCTTCAAGTCCAAGTGTGTTCACCTCACTAGAATACCGAAGCTGGCTGACGAGGGGCGCCATCCCGCGGGCCCCGTCCACCTCCGCCATCTACGAGAGACTGAAAACCAATCGAGATTTCGACCTCATCCAGACTCAAAAGGCCGCCAAACTCACCTACAGCGCGGAAAATCTCACACTCCTCGACCGCGCAAAAACGGTAAGTGATACTTTTTCCCGCCTGATTTCTAGATTCCTGAGCGTACTCATGTCAACTTTCGCAAATTAAATGTAGCACCTTGCGAAATTATTCCGTAAAACTTTTGCTGGAAAATCAAGCAATTTTTGGACATGTTTTCATTTAAAACGTTTGTTGGGAAGGGATGGAATGTTTTTCGCAAATTTACCCAGCAAATTTCCCTATCTTTATTTTCCGGAAAACTTTTGCTGGGAAATCATGATATTTTTTTTCAAATTTACCCTGCAAAGTGGCATGTTTTTATTTCGCAAACTCATCCTCGCCATGATCAGCCAGAGAAACTACAGGAATCCATGAAAAAAATTGGGGTTTTGAATTTCCAAACTCGCATTTCGCGAATCCTTTCACCACACTAATTTCTACAAGTTTGTTAAATAAGTTGCGATGCGAAATAAGACGTTGTCCTGAGTACGCTCATTATTATCATTTATTTTATTAAAATTAGTTACTATAAGCACAAAAATAGGACATGACACACTCACACATAGACCAAATTCATCTGCTAAAACAGGGAATAATACGATCCAGAGTTACATAACTCATTTATTCACTCAAATTATGGCACAATTCATTCATTAACCTGCTCATTAACCAATTACACGGACCCAATCTTTCCCTAAACTGCACTGAAATGTGGGCGATAATGAGTCCTCCTCACATGCCCCCGAATAATGAATGTCATTTCGTCACGAATCCAATTCCACACACGTTTTGCAATACCACGTTTTGCATTGCATGACTCGGAATTTAATTTAACGGCCACTTACTTATCAAGCATTTAATATGGAATGAATTGCACAAAACCTGACTCAAATCTCGTTCGCAATAACACCACTTACACGTTCAATACTTACTAAATTCGCAATATGAGTGGGCAAGTTTATGTATATTATGCAATTATTCTGCATGCTTTTCTCCAGTTATTTGCACAACTAATAAAAGTCACTCACTTTTTCACGACACAAAGTTTTGCCATCAAAGTAAGAATACTTTGAAAGTTTTGAGAACAAAATGAACCCACACATTGCACCATGATTGCACAGATAGTTTAAATATGACACTGAATTGAGCACCTATTTAGACTTTTTTAATTAATTTTTCTCACAATGGAGATCTCCCAGCGGGTGTTCTTCAATTTTGGGAAAATTAGTGGCAATTGATAAGAAATTTAATTGGTATGACATTCGTAAAGGAGACGATCTCCCAATTGACACGTTTACCAACGCCACCGAAAGAAAGCACCGACTTGTTTATTTTTTCCTAGAATTCTATTTATCAGTGTAACGTATGTACCTAGTAAATCAATTAATGTCCTTATTCTCAACACTGTTCTGTTCTTGTTCGTGTGTGTCGTTCTTGTTCTTGGGAATCTTACTTACGACAAATATTGAATGTGTTTTTTTTTCTCTAAATTGTCGCTTCCCCCGCGTCCATCCATCCATCCATCCACCCCTGCACCACAACAAACAACTCGTTACATCTGCACCTCATCCCATGCAAATTTTAAATAAAACTCCTCTCGGACCGGAACTCTTGTGCCGCACCCTCGTTGATGTTATGTCACAAAAACAGCGTACCGAAAGACAGTTAAAGTTACTCACGGAGAGTCTCGAGCGGGAAAACTTGAACAACTTGGCCCAGTGGGAGGCCCAACAACGACAGGTTAGAAGAGATATGTAACCTCAATCAATACAAAAAAACATGCATGTCACACTCAAATCTCAGCACATACATAAGTATTTTACCCACATGATTTATAATCAGCCATTACAAATATTTAGAATATGACACTAAATTTAATTGAGCACCTATCTATTTAGAGTTTTATAAAGAAGTTTCAGGGGTGGGCAAAATACTGGGTCAAAATTTTGAGCTCCGTTCTTTGCAGAGTTTGGATTTCCGGGTTATATCCACAAAAATACGAGAAGCCACGTGGAGAAGCCACGTGGAGAAGCCAAGTCGTGCGAAAATAGTAGTTTTACGATGAAATTAACTTTTTATCACTGTAAATTACTTCATTTTAAAAAAGTCGTGAAAATAATGTATTTTGGCAGCGAAAGAAAGTTAATTTCTTGATAAAACCACTATTTTCGCACCGCTGTTGTATCCTCCACGTGGCTTCATTTTGTGGTTGTAACAACCTGAAAATCCAAACCTGGGAAGGACGGAGCTCAAAATACTCTATTTTTTTCCCAAAGTATTTTGCCCACCTCTGCTTATTTATTATGCGGGCAACAATTCAGGCTAGCTGAGTAAACAGAGAGACGACCAGAAAAGAAAGCAAGCCAACTGATAGCCACCAGCCAAATTTCTATGCATTCAATTTTCGCAACTCCATTTCTAAACAAAACATCAGCGGGGCGGATATGTATGTGCTTATTTTCAACTTTTTCATTTGACGACGACCGTTTCAGTGTTCCTTAACTCACAAAAAAATTTGTGATCTGAATTTTGTATTTTTTTTTTGCATAGATATTTATAGTTTTCAGACATAAATATTCCAACCGCATTAGGCAAAATTTTTTTAAAAGAAATTCGACCACAAACCATCCAGAGTATTACATTCAGAAATACGATTTTTTAATTCTTATTGTCTTTTTTCAATATTATGACATTTTTTCTCGTAAACATCTACTAAACACGTATTTCACCGTTGTTTTTTTGTCAATACATATCCGCCCTCTGCTAATGACATGCTCCAGTTAAAAGGGATTAGTTGTTTTTGTACATGCAACCTTAATTCTCATCAGCATCATGAAGTTTACATTTCGACTCGACAAGATTCCAGGGAGCGAGTTAGTCCTGGTGAAAGTGAGTGAGGCGCATATGCTGCACACACGAAATTGAGAGTCTTTTCCAGCACAACGACTTTCTCTCTCCTGCTGCGGCTTCAGAGTGGTTTTGTTCCCAGCTTGTTCAAGAAAAAGGACAAGTCGGATCCGCACTTGGGTTGCTGTCCTCTCAGGGTTTCACTCACTCCCCTTTTAACCACCCTTCAAAACCGGTTTAAACCAGGGTTGCACACTTAAATTTGCACGTCCAAAAGCGTCCAAAATAGAAAATGGGACATCGTCTTTTTCAATAATCCGAAAGAGAGTAATCTCCTTTCAATTTTGAGCATCTTGCCGAGTAATGCTGTATGTTTTTGAAAATTACTTAATTTTTTATAAAAAAATGCAAAACTTTTTTCAAATTTATATGTGAATAAAATTGCAAAAAATTGTTAATAAAGAACTTCTAAAATTTTCCCCCATTTTCGACGCGTTTGACATTTTGAACTTGCAAAATTATTTTACCCAGTAAATTATTTAATTGTTCATAAAAAAATGTAAAACTTTTTCAAACTTAATCTCTCAAAATTGCAAAAAAATCGTTACCAAAGAACTTCAAAAATTTTTCCCCCATTTTCGACACTTAGCATTTTGGACGTGCAACCTTATTTTACCCAGTTTTGACCCGTGTTAAGTCCCAGGAACTAGTAGGAAACACTGTTTCCTCTGTTCCTCTGGTCGTGGTGGTGGTGGTGCTGATTAAAATTTCATGACACATGGAGAAACCCAGGCAGGCCGAGATATGTAGCGGGGGGATCTCTCTCTTTAGATTGCTTTCACTGCGGCGGAGGAGAAGAAACAGGATTCTGACATCCTGCTAGATTTGTAGTTCACTTTCCTGTCACTCGAATGAGAACGATTCCATGTGCGCCTCCATCTAATCAACCACGACAGATAAGAACTCATCCTTTTAGTAGACACGGAGATACATAGCCCCGAAAAGTGTCATCGTCGCCATGGAGACACGTACACGCGAGAAATTGCATAAATACATATGTAGATCCCCCATGATTATTAATCGTATGCAAATTTATTTATGCGATGCGGTTCACAGGAGAGGAATTCCTACACTCTAAATAAACTTGGATAATAAAATAAACAGTGAAATTTGCGCTGATACAACTTTTCGTGTAAAATTTACCCGACGAAGATAAAATTTACTCGAAAATCTTACAACGTTGGCTAAATTTTAACTTTCATTGGACAAATTTTACACAAACAGTTGTGTCAAATTTGAAAATTTGCAAATTTTACAAGTAAATTTGAAGCAAGTTTATTAAGAGTGTGCATAAAGCTCTCCTCACCCGAGTAGAACAACGTTACGACACGGTTCGCAAAATTTGAAAGGATCCAGAATTGCACAATGATCGGTTACACACATATTTTGCACACTCCACCTCCCGCATTACACGTATCTAAAATACAAAATTATGTATAAATAAATCCTACAAAAACTGAGGTTTCCAGCCCTTCTTCGACCCCTATGAATACGAATCCTCTTGATATCACCACTTATCAACTTATCAAGACTTATCTTATCGCAGCAAGAGCAACAGCAACGGCCGTACTACTCGTACCGCACCCATCTCACTTCCACCACGTCCTCCACCCTTACCGGCGCCGACTCCACGCTCGCCCGCGCCCTGGCCGCGGGCCGCTCCCCGTCAACTTCCTCCGCCTTAGCTGCCCTCGGAATACGAGAACCTCCCGCCGGAGCGTCCTCCTCTCTCAAGGAGTCCCTCAGCTCAGACCCGCTCCGACGCCTCGTCAGCATCACGCCATCCCGGTCACGTGACCTCATCTCTTCCGTCACCGGTCCGGGCGGGGTGGACGGCCGTCGCTCCCCGTCAGCCTCACTCCTCCACCGCATATCCGCCGATAAGGACGAGTCCCTCTTACGTAAAGAAATCCTCTCCCGCTCCCTCATTGGGCGGGATCTCCTCTCCCGAGAAAGTCTCAAAGACGACCTCGCCGAGTTATCCGCCGCCGCCACCGATAAATCCTCCTCCCGCCTAACTTCCGGCCCCACTTCCGCCGCCGCCCTGCTCTCTGTTCGCAGTGGTGGCGGCGGCACAACCGCCACCATAACTACGCCGCAAGGTGGCGGCTCCATCACATCCACGGGTACGGGCGATTCCCGCCTCAAACTCTTAACCATCAACCCGTCCGAATTCTCCCGCTATAAGATCGAACGTCCCGCACCTTCCATGAGCCAATCCTCCTCCGGCGGAGTCGACCACCCCTCCGCCACGCCCCCACTCACGGGACACTCGGGCATCCTGCGCGTCCACCTCCTCGCCGGAAGAGCGCTTCGTTCCACGGTGAAAACGACGGATGCCTCGATACGCACGAGAGACTTGTACTGCGTCCTAGAATGCGACCGCGTCCACAAGGCGCGCACCGTCGTCTGCACGGGGGATCAGAATTTCGACTGGGATGAAATATTCGACCTTGACCTCGTCCTCAATAAGGAGGTCGACTTCCTCATCTACTCGTGGGACCCGCAGTTAAGGCATCGTCTCTGTTACAAGGGCTCCGTCAACCTGCTCCACGTGCTCGCCTCGCCCAACACGAATGCCGACAATTTCCACCAGCTCGCCATCAAGGTGGAGCCGAGAGGGACGCTTTACGTCAAGTTGAGACACACCCCGCCCGAATTTGCCTTCAACCGAGATCCCAAACCGATCGGGCTGTTTGGCGCGAATGTGGCCAACATCGTGCTAAAGGAGGACTCCGGACTGAACGTGCCGCTCATTGTGCAGCGCTGTATCGAGGAGATTGAGCGCAGAGGGCTCGACATTATCGGGTTGTATCGCCTGTGCGGGTCCGCCACGAAGAAACAGGCGCTGAGGGAAGCGTTTGAACGCAGTCCGAGGAGTGTCGACTTGTCGGCGGAGAATGTGCCGGATATTAATGTTATAACAGGTAAAGGACGGGTTTTAATGTCTCGCTCTGTGTGTGTCGTCCGCTTTGCTTTCACCTCGTAGTTATTAAGGTGTCTCGTTAGCGAGTAGTTTCACGCAGGGTCTCATCGCCAAAATCACCACATTTTTAATCATTTCTCTCCTTTGGGAATTTATTTTAAAATTCTGGACAACTAATTTGTAGAGCAGGGAGTTCCCAATTTTATAAAAAATATATACTCCATATTTTGAAACTGTTTGGAGATCTCAAGTTTAAAAAACCCTTCAGAAAATTTGGAACTCATCAAAACTTGCTTAAAAACTCACCACCACTCCATTAATCAACTCACTGATTACAAATTTCACCCGTCCAGAAGTTTAAATTAAATTATCAGATCAATGAAATGCTTAAAAATGTGCCGATTTTCATGGTAAATCATCTAACCCTAAATTCATACAATCTAAAAAACATCTCTCCCTCTCTCCACAATAATTTCCCCCTCTCATAGAAACACTTTCTCTCAAGGTGAAAGTTGTTTACACATGAAGAAAAAAACAATCTGCACCGAGTTAAGCGGAGTCGATCGCCATTTGTCGCATCACTTAGCTCCACTCCACCAAATCCAATATAGCAATAATAATAAAAAAAGGCCACAACACTCACAATGGAGGTCTCCCAACGTATGCTCACAGATTTGGACCAAACTAGCGTCAATCGATCACAAATATAATTAGTACGAAATTTGCAAATAGAACCATCTGCCAATGCGCAGGTTTGGTGGAGATATTTGCATAAAAAGAGGAGAAAACGCACCAAAAGGCTGGCATATTTTTCATTTTCCAAATTTCCTGCGCATTTTTCCAACTTTGGATGCAAATATCTCCGCTAAACTTGACCATTGGCAGATAGTTCCATTTGCAAATTTCATACTAATTATATTTGTAATCGATTGACACTAGTTTGGTCCAAATCTGTGAGCATACGTTGGGAGACCTCCATTCTCAGTCCTTAACAGTAAAGTGGAGAAGGGTGACTCGCTGAGCGAGTGTAACTCGATGATACACAAAGTTTAGGAGCAGCTCTCCAGCGATTCGGATGGCAAAAGAGAAGGAATCCCAATCTCATCTCGCTCGGAGAAAGTTTCCTCCAGGCTGAGAAGACCTTTTGCTCCTCGATGAAAGGCAGCAGAGTTATAGGGTCACATTCACCCCGCACACCGTCTGCCTCCAAAGTGCACCAGTACAGGTAGACACCCACGGCCAGGGTTTCGGGTGAAAGTAACCACCTGCATGAAAGTGGTTTCTTGCAGGTTAATATTTCTCTTTGCAAGAAATGCAAGGCGCGAGAAAGTACATACGTCGGACAGCTAGATTTCATACAACATGAGGCTAAATGGTGCAAATTTCTTGCAATTTTTCCATGCCATTCCATGCTTTACAGTGCAAGAAATGTGGCGAATCGGCAATAAACTGACAAGAAATAATCGCAACAAAGTGGTTTCTTGCATTTATTTCTCCCTGCAAGAAATGCACCGCCCGAGAAATTACTCTTCCCGTCGTTAGATGTCGCATATTTCTTGCACTTTCTCACACCCCGAATTTCTAGTATTTCTCCACTTCCACTGCAAGACACCCATACATAAAACCAGCGAAGGAAACGAAACACTGGCTACCTTAAAAAAAGAGCACAGTGATTTTTTTCTCTCTATTTGAATGAAATGGATTCAAGCGGAGAAAGTTTTCCACTTTGGAAAGTTGAATAACTTTCTCTCCTCCTCACAGTCCTCACTCTGGAGACATGTGCCAAATGCAATCCTCAAGATAAGAAGAAGATAGCTCACAAAACGGTTTCCTCTTTTTTTTACGAGCCAAGAAACAAGGACGGTGCTCCTCCTTAAATAAAGTGAAAGCTTCTTTCTAACTCGGAAAAATTACTCCTGCGCGACTAAACCAATTAACGTGTTACTCTTTCCTCGGACTAAACTTTCGCTTAATTAATAACTCACAACCTCAGCGAGAAGAGAAAAATGTTCAGCTTTACAAGTTTACAAGTTGCATTCAATGGAGAAAGTAAAATTGAGAAATAACCCGCACGCAAAAGTCTACTTCGCATTATTTTCCTCTCTCTTTTTCTCTTTGATGAGTACTAATCGCTCGTTCGTTCGTTCCTTGCTGTGTGTATTTTTGGCACACCAATAACCAATTTTGCTTGACATTACGTGCCCAGAATTTTGGTTGAGGGTAAACTCACGGTGGAGGACGACGAGAGTATGCTCTCTGATTTTTAAGCTATTTTTACCAAAAAACTTTTAAAAAAAAGTGTGGCCTATTTACGTCGCCGACTCAAATTTCTCTGAAAGGTTGTCCAGTTGAAATTATGTAATTCCTTAACAACCTTGATTTCTGACACCGAAATAAATTTTTGTAAAGTAGAAAATACAAAAATCACGTCTCACAACCGCTTGGAATTTTTAGGGCCATAATTTTTTCAGATGAAGGATATCAATCAGTAACAAATTTAGTTTGAAATTTGCACACTGCACGATCTTTAAATTGGCTTATTTGACAAACATTTAGAACCAGAAAGGAGAAAACGCGAATTAAAGTCGAAAAATTAGACACTTTCCAAATTTATTGCGTATTTTCTCCTCTTCGGATGCAAATATACCCATTCGGAGATCCTGCCTTACGCAAATTTCAAACTAATTAAATTTGTGATCGGTCGACACTATTTTTCCCAAAATCCGAGAGCACACACTGGTCTATCTCCATTCTCGGAGAAAATGAGCTGACCCAGTTACGTACGTGTCACACTTGCAACTTTACACTTTTACACATGCAGCTGAATAAATTCGATAGCGTGTCGTCAACATTTCTTTCTCTTCTCGTACGTACGTATGCAAATCTAATTATGAACGTGTTGTCGTATTGTTCCTGCCCCTGCAAAAAAAATTACCCATTCAAATTATTACCTTGTTAGCAGGACAAATAATCTTGATCAAGTCATTTGTATGCGTCGGGGTGCTTTTGTTACGTCATAAATTATGGAGAAGGTATAAAAATGATGTATGAAAATGGGGGGGACACCGCCGCGTAAGAATTTCGCTTCCCACAGAGATGGCCAAAATATTGTATTTTCAACTCCGTTCTGCTGGATTTCTACGACTGTTAATATGCCCACAAATAGACGAAAATCTACGCGGAGAAGACAAAAGTCTCACGAAAATTCATGATTTCTGAAGAAATTAACATTTCACCTCGAAATAAATACAAAATACAATATTATCACAAAAAAACTAACCTAACTATGAAGTATTTTGACAACGATAAAAAGTTAATTCCTTAACAAAACCCATATTTTCGCGTTACTATTATTTTCTTCACGTATTTAGATTCTCGTTTTTTTGTGGGTGTAAGTTCCCCGGAAATTCGAGCCCTATTAAGAACCGAGCTGAAAATACTCTATTTTTTCAAACTATTTGCCCATCTCTGTCGCTTCTTCGCATGATTCACGCATTGTTTCCGTGTAGTCCAAAGTAAATGTATCATTGGAAACTTATTATATTTTTGTGCTGGAAATCGTGCAGGCGTGCTGAAAGACTACTTGCGCGAACTGCCGGAACCTTTACTCACAAAGTCCTTGTACCACATGCTCGTGGACGCGCTCAGCGTCTGCCTTCCCGACGATCCCGAAGGAAATGCCAGGCTCCTCTTCTCAATTATCGAATGTCTACCTAAACCTAATCGGGTAAGAAAATCCAATATTTTTATTTACTACCTAGAAAATATTAAATGAATTTATTCCATTCCATTCATTTATCTATTTCAATTCAATTTTTTAAAATTTAAATAAATCCATCTTAAACTTACTCCCTCGTATGTACAGAGAGCGGATATGTATTTACTTTCTATTTTTCCATTTTATGACGGTCGAACTATGCCGGGTGTTGCCCAACTCCGTGCAGGTCGCAAAAATTCCAAAACATTTTGTTACAAATTTCTAGGTTTTCAGACATCTAAAAATATTTTTAAATATTTCCCATATTCTTTGAAAAATACGTAAATATTTTGCATAGTTTATTAATACGTATGTTTTGTAAATACATATTTCAACGATTTTGAGATCAAATTTTTGCCCCCAAGAAATTCGAACACAAAAAAATCTAGCGCATTAAATTCAAGAGTACTAAAATTTTGCAAATTAGTTTCATGTTTTACATATCTCGTAAATATACACTGTAAATAAAGTTAAGTAAAATTGCCACCAAAGCAACTGTTGAGCAAAATTTACCCTGACAAGAGTAAAATTTACTCAAAGTTGAGCAAAAATCTTTCAAGCTTGAGTAAATTTTACCTTTGTCAGAGTAAATTTTACTCAATAGTTGCTTTGGTGGCAATTTTACTCAAAATTGAGTAAATTTTAATCAAATTTATTTAGAGTGTATGAATTTTCTCTATTTTCGTAAATACATACCCACCCTCTTCTGTTTATGTACATGCTATATCTTCCTCGTTATACGTGTACATGTGTATGTAAATACGAGTCGTGAGCCTCATTTCCCATTCGGGTTAAGATTACAGGGTGAGATAGTCGCCTATACAAAGCCAACCTCCGCGTGTAGGGGGACAAACAAGGTTCCACTTTCTCCAGTTGTGGTGTTAACAAAGTATTCATCCCGCCGGGTCGTCGCCTCGTTGGCCCATAATCAATAACCAAAACCCTAAACTTATCCTTTTCAGAGAAGTAACAAACCACCTCGATTTCCACCACTTTTACCAACTCCCCACTTTGTACGGCCAGCTAATCAATATCCATACCGACATTTTCCTCTCTCCCATCCAGTGTTTCTCCTCCAATAAGCAACCACGTGCCAGAAATAGCGGGGAGAAAGTAGGTTTTTCTTGCAGGGAAATAAATATTTTGACTTGCAAGAAATCCAAAGCGCGAGAAAATAATTCCAGTCGCTATACTTGACGGGGTGACAAATACGTAACCGACATTTATGTCACGACCTTTATGTAGCGACATATATATAACCGGAAAATATGTAACCCGACAAATATGTTAAAACAAATATGCGACATATACGTCGTTACATGAATATCGGTTACATATTTGTCTTTACATATTTGTCGTATCACCGCTATACTTCATACAGCACGTGGCTAGATGACGCATATTTCTTGCACCTCACATTTCCCCCTTTGCACAGCAAGAAATCTTCCCGGCAGAAACGGAACCCTGCTTTTTTACTCCATATTATGTACAATAACTTACTCAATAAAAATACCTTGGCTGGACCCATTAAATATTTAAAACCTTTCCAAATTTCTACCATTTCCTCATTTTTCGAGAGATTTTTTCCTCCTTCTCGCGTGTCTCTTCTTCTCGGCCATCTTTTCTCCCCAAATTGCTATTCAAGACATGTTTCAAATTGCCTACTTGGTCCTGATCCACCAGCATTACGCGTCACATCAGCCCTCTTCTCCTCCTCCTCCTTTTATTATTAGACAAGGATGACGCCGACTGTGTAGTAATGGGACCAGTGGCGGCGGAAGTTGGGGACATTGACACTGCGAGAGCGAGATGAGAGGACGAGGGGTCTATTCACATGGGGAAGATGGGATTTTTCTTAATTTCTGCGGGGAAAATGTCCCCTCACTTCCGCCGCCACTGAATGGGAGCAAAGTTATGGGATCGAGAAAGGAGGGAAAGGTGACCGGCGGCGGAGAAAGTGGCGGAGAAAGCACAACGACAAATTGAGTTCCTTCTTCAAACAAATTATCCCGGGTTCACACACCTCGTCGTCGTCGTCGGACTATATCTTGCCCTAAAAATTTACATTTCTCCCTCCCCTTTTATAATTTATTTTCGGAAATCTTATTCCCACAAAATAATGAAGAAAACATTCTTTTCTCTATATTCACAGTGCACTCTGCTCCTAATTTTGGAGCACCTAAGTCTCGTGTGTTCACTAAGCGATAGGAACAAAATGGGCCCTCAGCAACTCGCCGTCGTGAGTCCAGTTAAATTAAATTCTGATAAAAAATGGGATCTAACCCGCCATTTTTGTGCAGTGTTTCGGCCCGATTTTGATGATCCACTATGACATGTCCGTGGAAAGTGTGGATTTCCAGCCGCCCATCAAGGTCCTTCAGTACTTGTTGGAAACATGGCCAGCCAAATCAGGTAACAGTATTTCGATTTCAATACTAAACTCATTTCTTGCCAGAAACACCACGCACGCACCAACCAACTACTCACAAACCACCGCCACTGTATGTACATAATTAGCTACAATTTAAATACTTAAAACCGAACCTTTTTTCAAGCTATATAGACCGGAATCGTGTAACGAGTTATATTTAAGGTTCCCATGGATGACGCGTTGGCGCGTAATCTCACTCTGCCCCTATCTGCAATTTCTAAAATCGGATCAACTCCATGAGTTTTGAGATAAATGCAACTTTTGATATTTTAATGTAAAGCTAATTTTTGGTACTACAAAACCTTGGTGTTTTGAAAAATTAGAAAATTCATTTTTGAAACAAATTAGTGTGCAAAAATAGCAAATGAATTTTTTAATTTTTCAAAACACCAAGGTTTTGTAGTACCAAAAATTATCTTTACATTAAAATATCAAAAGTTGCATTTATCTCAAAACTCATGGAGTTGATTCGATTTTAGAAATTGCATTTGAATACATTGGATAGGGGCAGAGTGAGATTACGCGCCAACGCGTCATCCATGGGAACCTTAAAAATCAGGCCAAAAATTAGGAATCACATGGCGCTCACCATTCCTTTTATTGGACCTTTTGAATACAAATATTGGAGTCAAAAAGTAGTTGGCTTTCGCCTCATTGAATTTTGAAAATTGAAATTTGAATTTTCACGCCCAATGTTTTTCTTCAAAGGGCGCTGACCATTCAACGGAATGGTTAGCGCCATGTGATTCCTAATTTTTGGCCTGATTTTTTGACATAACTAATCCCGGTGTAGCTTGAAAAAGGTTCCATTCTTACCGAGTATGTAGTTTGCCAAGGTGGGCAAAACACTTTGTAAAAACACCTTATTTTAAGCTCCGTTCTTCCCAGGGCTTGGATTTACGGGGGTGTTACACCCACAAAAATTACCAGAATCTACAGACGTCAACTAGCAGTCGAAAGTACATTATTTCTAAAGAACTTAACTTTTCATCGCTCTCAAAATACGATATTTTGATAGCGATAAAAGTTAATTTCTTCGAAACCCTGTATTTTCCACTGACTTTAGCTTTCTTCACGTATAGATTCCCGTCTTTTTTTGTGGGTGTAACACCCCCGGAAATCCATACCCTGCCAACAACCTGGCTCATAATCCTTCCTATTTTCACAAAGTATATACATATTTCCCCCCTCTGCTAAATACTTTGCAGTCGAGTAGAAAAAAAACCCAATTACATAATTACACAATTCAAGTCCCCATTGTTCGCACCAAAATTAGTGAAATTCCTAAAAATGGCAAACAACTCTTCAGAAATTGCTCGATCTTACGAATTCAAGTGTCTCTCCACTCGTTGCTCTGCTTCAAACTAACCAAATTTTTAATTCGCAATACAATTTCAACTAATTGAATTACGTGCATGAAAGGAGACAACTATTTGCATGATCTCGAGCAAAGAAAGTGGTGAGGAACCTTTCGCCTGAAAAGGTATCATTCATCCGATTAGTTCAGTCTTGCTGGGCGGGCATGCAAGTAAAGAGAACTAATGATGCGATTACAATACTCGGAAAACAAAGGTTGGTTTAATAATTGAGTCGCTTTCTCTTCACACGCCTCCTTGCCTCACCTTTGATCAAGGTTCCAGTTCATGCATGCAGGATACTTGATCTCTCTCCAACAAAGGTGCATGGTGGAATATCTTGCTAATTAAACACCCAAAAATATAGGCAAATACAGGGAGGGAAGTCAAGTCAAAACTTATCTTGCCTAAAGTCAAGTTGGAAAACATTGTTGCAAACCTTTTACTCGCAATGGGGGCGCAAACCCTGTTCAATGCAGATCATTTTTTGACCACCTTCGTTCGAAAGAGCATTATTTAGTGCGGCACATGAGTAGATGCGGAAATTTCAGCAAGTTCTGCGCACCGCCAGTTCTTCGGTTTCCTAGCAGAATAAATATGTGCAGATTCTGTGGTAGCAGTTACACATTTTCGCAAACTATTGGCGCCCATAACTAGCCGAATTTTTCGCATCCACTCAAGTGCCGCACTAAATGTTTGTAAAGAAAGAGTTGCTATTTCAAACTAATTTAGCCAAAAAGTAATTTGGGTTGAACGTGGTTTGCGTCTCCATTGTTAGCAGACAAAGTTCTCCTCGTATGTAAATGAGCACTTTCTTTGTTCTACTCGTCTCTCTCTCTCTCTCTCTCTCTGAATTTATTATTTCGTGGACACAAAGGCATAATCAATACTCGGCTCGCTGCATGTATGCCAACTACACACGCATTTATAATTCATTCCACCCCATTCTAAAATTTTCTAATATTTACCAGAACAATGCCCAGATTCATTACGAGTTCGCATCGCTACATAATTTCGAAATAGGAAAAAAATCCCAACCAAATCCAAGCCTTGGAGATCAGCAAGTTGGCAAATGCATTTTTAAAATTATTCGAACTTGTGGGGCATTCATAATGTGTTCGCATCACAACAACATAATTTTTGAAAAAATACATTTCCTAATTAGATCCTACATTTTTAGCTCGCAAATTCACATTCAATCCACAATTTGTTGCTAACTTGTGAACTTTGAGCATATTCTTTCCGCATTCGCATATTATACGAACATTATTAGCATGTTCTAAACCTAATTTTGAAAACAAATTGCCAACTAAATACTACCTTTGAAGATGAGCAGTTCCAATTTTTTTGGGGAACTTGTGACCTTTGTTTTTTTGCTAAGTTTCATTGCTAGCGATGCGGATTCGTTGTGAATGAATTTTTTGTGTTTAACACGTGGTATACATAGTTGGCTACACACATTTACACAAAGCAAAAATATATGTACCTACATGCACTATTTTGTTGTATACGTAGTGTTGTAGCATTAATAGCATAGATTCAAATAATTTAGTGGACGAGTACACTCTTAAGAATAATGTTACCCTTTCGAAAAGTAAATACACTCAAAATAAGGTAGTAATGAATCATTACCATGCGGAATCACTATGTGTCTCTACCATGTCGGTTACGATTTGTCGTAGAAATGGTAATACTAAGTTCAGGGAAATTCAAATTTAATACATAATGGTATTCACTTCCTTAATATTTGGTAATGAATTTGAATTTCCCTGAACTTATTATTACCATTTCTACGACAAATCGTAACCGACGTGGTAGAGACACATAGTCATTCCGCATGGTAATGATTCATTACTACCTTATTTTGAGTGTACACTGTCAATCAATTCAACAATAAATAAATCCTGCACAACGTTAACGTACAGAATTAATGAAGAGTAAAGATTATTCTGGGTTTAGTATGGTTTACTTAAAATTTAGACTCAAGGGTGCATTTATTTAACTTTCAAAAGGGTGACATTATTTTTGAGAGTGTAGTATAGTAGATGCTGGAGGAAATTATACTAATAATTGCATGATTTGGTTTTTCGTCGGCTGCTGAACTTGTTGGAAAGATCGTAACGGAGAGAAAGTCAATAAACACCGTTTGTAAACTTTCTTTCCCTTTTACGACTCGAGTCTACTTCCAAAATCTGACTCCATAAATCGACTGAATTACGAGGAGAAAGCGTTCCTCCAATCGACTCTGTCCTAATTGTCGATTTGTAAAAGATCCGAGTGAGGAAATGGCTCCAAGAAAGTTTTTATGATAAACCATAAACATTTTAGATTCCCATTAATTCCATGATTTCGCCTTTATCATCTCATTTTACTCAAATCGCTCCCATCCATCCATCTTTTAATGTCTCGTAATTGTGATAATTTAATGACGGGTGAGAAGAGTTCATCAGTCCCTAAACTTTCTCTTGGTTACAGTTAATACTGTAGTACTCGGTGACTCATCGCCAAAATCACCACAGTTTTAATGATTTCTCTACTCTGGGAATTTATTTTTAAATTCTGGGCCACAAATTTGTAGTTAGTCAGTTGACTAATGGAATGATGGTGAGTTTTTCAGCCACTTTCCATGAGTTCCAATTTTTCTGAAGGTTTCTTAACTTTGAGATCTCCTTCTTTAAAAATCAAAAGTTTCAAAATCTGGATTTTAAAAAATTCCCCGCTCTACAAATTTATTGTCCAGAATTTTAAAATAAATTCCCAGTGCGGAGCAATGACCGATGATGTGCCGATTTGGACAATGACTCATCCAGTCCTACGTTAACGTTGCAAATCGTCTTTCACTCAATTTTACAAAAAAAACTGGTCCTCTTTTTCTCGAAAAGAAAGCAAACTCCTCCCACATTAAAAATCAGAATCATAAATACTGATAAATACCGAGTAGAAGAAAGTTCCCCAACTCGATTTTGGTTCATCAGTGCGTTTCTTGTTTGTCAGACAGTTCGGGCAGCGGGAGCGGGAGTGGAAGCAGTACGGAAGGGGCCTTCGCTTTTGGGGAAAGGCCGCCCCTTCCCGCCCAGTTCCAGCCCAGCCTCAATCCTTTTGTCGCGGAAGCAACGGCCGCCGACCTCCTCCTCGGCTTCCCTCCAGCGGGACTACTCCCCCCAAAGCCCCCCTTCCAAGGCGTCCCCTTCCTCTCTTAGCGAATCCTCCCCCAGCCCCACCAGCAGCGTCAAGGCGCCCCACCACCTCGCAATGGGGGGGTCCGCGCCCTATAACAACAACAACTATCCATCCGCTCTCGGTGGGCCTGGGGGGTATCCCATCACCCTCACGCCATCCACCACGTCCAGCTCGCTCACCTCCGTGACCACGCAGGCTCTCACGCCCCCACAAACTACCGCCTCCAACTACTCACTCACGTCGGAATTCTCCACTACGTCCGTCACCTCGCCCACCCCGTCCCATCAGCACCACCACCACGTCGTCTCCACCTCCTCCACCAGGGAAAGCCTCGTCGCCTCTGCCCACCAGCCCCCTCACCCCCTCAGCCTCCTCCTCGGGAACGGCGGCGGCGCCGACCTCTCCGGCGGCGAGGGGTCCGGCGACGACGTCTTCGCCACCGTTTCCGTGCGCAATAGAGCCTCCGTCTTCGAAACGACGCCATCCAATGGCGCCACCGTTCTCGCCAATGGCTCTGCCGCCGCCGTCGCTGCCGCGCAACACCTCCAACAGCAGCAACAACACCAGGAACGCCTCGAGTACTACGCCCAGCTCCAGAGCGGGGAGAAGGTCTCAAACATCTTGGCCATGCAGCACAACATGATGCACCACGTGACGTCCCCGCCGCACCAGCCCGCCGTGCCCGCTTCACCCTTCATGGGGCGCAAGTCCATCGGGGGTGGGCCGCCGCTGCCGGGCCGGGCGGAGCGGGCGGACTCCTTCGAAGACGGCGGCTCCACGACGACGACGAGCAGCAACTCGAGCAACAACTCGATCTGCTCCAAAAGAAGGCTGCCCTCGATCCCGAAAAGCTTCAGCACGAGTCAGGAGGACAACACGACGGGGAACAATGGTAACAACAACAACAACGGGGCCAACAATGGGCACCACCACCACCACCATCACCACCAGAACACGCCGCCCCCCGAGCACGAGGCGCAACAACAGCAGCAACCACTCGAGTACTCTTCGCCCCCTTCGACCGATCCAGACCTGATAAACAACCGGATAAGCAACATCCCCCCGGCGACGCAACAGCAGCAGCAATATTCCCCCTTCCAACAGGGCCGGCAAGACCTTCCTCAGCAATACTACGGTGAGTGAGAGGAGGGGAGGAAAGTCATGGGGGCATTCAGGAGAGTTTCGAAACCATATCAAGTCATAGATCCCAATTTCTGGGGAGAAAATGCACAGATTTTTTGCCAAGCTTACCCTAACAAAAATTTAAAATTGTATATTCCATTGGAAATACATATTTTTTAATTCAATAGAGATGAAAATAATGCAGAGTTTGTGAGCAATTTCAATTAGGTCGGTCACCAGGAAAATTTCGCTAGCTAACGAATTTAAGAAGCACCAATTGAATCGCACACCTTTCCCAAAAAATCTATATTGCTGAAATTACCCATGGTCAAAATGGGATTCTTTATAACATAAAATAACTCATTTATGCTTTGATTATTAATTTAGCCATGGAGCCGTCGTACCCGCCCCCGCAAATGATCAAGCCTGGTTTCGGCAGTCCAAAACCAGTCCCACCACCCCCGCCGCCGAAACCAGGCTCCGCCATGCGCCAACGCCTCGCGTCCTCGTGCTCCTCCGACTCAGAGGACTACTCGGACCGGCAGGACTCCCCGGGAACGAGGCCCAAGCAGAGCAACGGCCACTCCTGCGGTGGTACCGTGCCCAACGAGACGAACGGCGGGAGCGGGGGGTCGTCCGGCGGCAGCTCCACGACCACCCCTACCACGGTCCAGAGCCAGCCGGGGGCCGGGAGCAAGGGGTCCAGTCCGGGCACCACCCCGCTCAGCACGCCACCGCCAGTCCCGCCCAGACTGGATCGCAGGCCCAGCCAACCTTCCCCCACGTCCAGCCCGCCCGCCATGCCTCCCCCCGTCCCGCCCAGACTGGGACGAGCAGCTCCCGTTAGGACCCCGTCGCTGGATGGTATACATGATTTTATTTCACTTAACCCCTGGTCTCCCAGCGGATGCTCGCAGATTTTGGTCAAACTTAATGACAAACTTAATGCCAAATTTACTCATATGAAATTTTCAAACGACACGATCCACCAATCCTTCAACTGGCGGTGATATCTTTTGCATCCGAGGAAGTAAAAACACGTCTTCAAGTCGACAAACTTTGCACTTTCCAAATATACTGTGCCTTTTCTATTGCCTCTTCGGATGCAAATATCTCGGCCAAACTTCGTGCAAATTTCATGCTGATTAAATTTGTGATAATTTGTGACTATTTCTCTCAAAATCAGAGAGCATACCTTGGGAGATGGCCAGGAGGTTTTGGTCCTCTACTCCAATGTCTAAACTTTCTCCGCCTTTGCAGGCCGCGAAGCTTTCGAAGTAGACTGCTACACAATCAAGGAAGAGAACGGCGAAGAAGACTTTTTAACGTAGTCCACAAGAACTGATTTCAAAATATTTATTTATACTAAATTTCATAATTTTTTACATCAAAAACGACGAACTTAACGCTTACATCTCTCTCTCTCTCTCATCGACTTTTTCAACCAAGGGAATTTTATACGTGGATTCACTCCCATCATATTTTTTCTTCTCGTGTAAATTAAATTATGTAAATTAGCCGTGTGTCCCATGCATGCACACGCAAGACAACTAATTCTTCTTCATCTTCTCTTCTTCACAACTTTACATTTTTCTACGACTTTCGACCCCCGACGACAAAACTCCGGTCTGGTGACGACGACTACGGCGTGAATTTCAAGTGACGACGTTACACAAATCCACGTGCACAAGAATAGTCAAGGCGGCGGTACACGTGTTCATTCAACATTCAGCTAAAAACGAACAAAGAATCCAACAAAACCTACTGCCAAACCTTTTACCAATAATAATTAAAAGAAATACGTAACAGTTAACCTAAAATATAAGTATGTCAAACCAGTAATTAATAATTGTATTTGAATAATCATTAAGTAATTGTTCTACATAAATATCTAATTAGGGAAAAAAGTGACGGAAAAATTCCTTGAAATTCTCAACCTTAACCTAAAAAAGGAATATTGTAATACTTCTAGCTAACTAATTACCTCGATTGATGAGATTTCCTAAAATGAAAATTGTAGCAGCAGGGAAAAGAGAGAAAGTCGATTTGTCAGTATTATCATGTCAACCTATTTGCACTCCAAAACCCACCGAAATTCCGGTCCTACCTCGATTCAGACAAGTCAATAACTAAATAAATTAGTAAAACAGGGGTGGGAAAATACTGGGTCAAAATGGAGTATTTTGAACCCCGTTCTTCCCATGGTTTGAATTTATTTCGGGGGCTGTCACACCCACAAAAAGGCGAAAATCTATCTACGCTGAGAAGGTAAGTCAGTCGAAAATACGGGATTTGTGAAGAAATTAATATTTTATCGCTGTCAAAAATACTTTGTTTTAAAAAAATCGTGAAAGCGATGAGTGTACTCTCGTCAACCTTGGAATATCTCACAATTTCAGTATAGCAACATGAGATTTTGCTAAAATTTTCCTGCAAAAGTTTGCAGGAATATTTTGCAGGATATATTTTTAGAGAAAATTTACCTAGCAAATGGGCATGTTCTTACATATTTCGCAAAAATCTGCGAGATTTGCAGTCATAAATTTCGAATCTCTCTCTCGCAACACAAATTTTTTGATTGCCGCATGTACTTTGCTACGTGAGTGAGTGTGGCCATGCTGTCGTGAGGACGCTCAGGAGTGCATTCATCTTGACAGAGGTAAAAACTTAATTTCTTCACAAAACCACTATTTTCGCCAAATTGTCCTTTTCTCCATGCAGATTCTTGTCTTTTCGTGGGGATCCCAGCCCCAGAAAACCAACCAATAGAAACCACAGAGGTCAAAATGCTCTATTTTTACACCGTATTTTTTTCTAACCTAACTAACCACATAGATTTTTAAAAAACTATCATAGATTTTAGCCTTAAAAAAACAGGACTTTTGTACATTTCTTACGCACTCACGCACTCACTCGTGTGTATTCATCAAGTATTGCCTCAACCCCTTTCACTTTTGATATTCATACTCTATTTACGAATCATGGGCGTATGTAAATATGGCAAAATTTTACTTTTTTAACACCACCAAATCCCGTACATATTTCATAGGATTTAAATATAACTATAAACCTACATATTTACCAAATTCCTACCTAGAATTCATGCTTGGGTGATTTTGAAGCAATAATAAACCGATCAAACAGTGTAATAAAATGAAACCTTAACAAACCCATCGGAAATAAGAAATAGCCCCCTCCCGGCTATCGTCAAGTGAGACTAGGCGTAAGTAAGGAAAGGGACGGCAGCAGGTTAGCGTGAAAAAAAATGTAATTCTCATCCAACATTAGGTGAAACCATTTAAGCAATTAACATATTTCGAGGTGAGGCAGTGGGGTCGAGTGAGCCCAGTAATTACGATTAAAAGTTACTGAATATGGTGGGATTTCGGAGAGCAAAAAAAACATCTCCGGTCTTAATAAAAAAAAGGAGGAGAAAGGCTAAATAAATTGACGCTGCTAACGTGTGCTTATGTATAAATACAAAAAATGAAATGAAAACTGAAAAACTTTGTTGTTCAGAGTCAAGGACATATCATATTCATGAACATTTTTACTAGATTTATGTATGTATGTACACCTACAAAATTATAGTATTAGTCGCAAGGAGGCGAGACGTAAATCCATATTTACAAAATAATAGTCATCACTGTCGTATTACTACAAATTACTGGCTAAGTATGATAAGAATATTGATAACTCGTAGATAATAAGGCGATCGTGTTAAGGGCAACAGTCCAATTTTTTCAAAATTTCGGGAGACGACCCAGTCCAACCAAATGCCGTCAAGGTTTCTGGACGGAATCGGTGGAATTTTGTCGACATAAAAGTTAAAAAAAATAAACATCAAAGTGGAATTTAGCTCCTTTCATGGGTTAAAATCCCGTGAAAATTTGTCAACCTTCATCTCAAACCTTTCCTCAAAAATTTCACCGACTCGGTCAAAAAACCTTGCATGTATTTCCTTGAACTAGGTAGTTCCGAAATTTCAACAAAATTGAAATGTGACTACTTAACAGGATCGAATTTTTATAAAAAACCATTAGTCTGGATGGGTGAAAGTGGAATGTTTGTATCAAAAAGGCAGTAATATTTCCAGATATTTGTACCATCGTAGCTTCACTGATAGTTAAATACTTAAGTTTACTACAATTAGCAGGTTTTCACTAATAAATACTTACCCAAATAAGTAAGATACGACTTACCTATCCAAGCAGTAAAATCCTAAAAAATTTATCATCATCATAATCATAAAATTCAAACTCAAACCAGGATTGAATTTTGTATTTAAAGAAGGAAACGGTAAAATTAGACTGGGCAAGGATGCGTATGTAAATATTTCGTAGCTAAAAATAAATCCGGCAAGGCACGAAAGGAAAGTGCTATGCGAAAAGTAGAAAAGGGAGGCCAGGATTTGTCTGGTGAGCAAAAACTCAGTGTTTCGTGTAGAATGGCAATCATCGCGGTCTCCTCGAGCAGCAAATAATATCACAACTAATTCTTAAGGTTCCCATGGATGACGGGTTGGCGCGTAATCTCAGTCCACCCCTACCCAATGTATTCAAATGCAATTTCTAAAATCGAATCAACTCCATGAGTTTTGAGATAAATGCAACTTTTGATATTTTAATGTAAAGCTAATTTTTGGTACTACAAAACCTTGGTGTTTTGAAAAATTAGAAAATTCATTTTTGAAACAAATTAGTGTGCAAAAATAGCAAATGAATTTTCTAATTTTTCAAAACACCAAGGTTTTGTAGTACCAAAAATTAGCTTTACATTAAAATATCAAAAGTCCCATTTATCTCAACACTCATAAAGTTGATTCGATTTTAGAAATTGCATTTGAATACATTGGATAGGGGCAGAGTGAGATTACGCCCCAACGCGTCATCCATGGGAACCTTAATCAGGACGAAGTAACTCGTCTGCAAAATCCGCACATTTTTACGCAATCACTTTTCCGCTCAGGGATTTTTTTTTAATTTCTGCATCACGAATTTGTAGAGTTAGGAGTTCCAATTTTCAAAAAATTTTTTTTTTTAATTTCTGCATCACGAATTTGTAGAGTTAGGAGTTCCAATTTTCAAAAAATTTACACTCCAGATGTTGATGCTTTTTGGAGATTTCAAGGTTAAGAAGCCTTCAGAAGAATCGGACTGGTTGTAAAACTCTTCGATATTAATTAAATTACCCAGTTATCAGTCGTGCAGAATTTTAAAATAAATTCCCAGAATGTGCAGAAACAATTTTAAAATATGCGGATTTTAGTGATGAATCATAAAGTCCTACCTTAAATTGCTTGTATAAAAAGATTATTCCCACTTTTTTACTTAAAGACTGAGTCAATTCTTTGATGACAATTGATCACGTTTCCTTATTTTTAACCAAACATGTATCATCTTAATATAATTAAATCTGAAATATGTAGTTTGGAAACTTTTTCTTTATCATCATATCAGCGCAGACTTAAATTCTGCATTTGCCCTGCAATCTATGTAAATAGGCCAGTTTAGTTAGTCTATTAAATATTTGTAATAAATACGATTTCAACAAATTTTTGTATTTAATTTTAGCACCAAAATTTTAGATTTTGTAAGCTTTATCGTTTCCTACTGCGAGAAGAAATGGATATCGTGTATCAGATGAAGAAGAAAAGTAACTTGGAAAGGGAAGAAAAATATTAATTGATAAAAATACTTACAATGGAACCTTTTTTCAAGCTACGCCGGGATTGCCTAACGAGTTATATCGAAAAATCAAGCCAAAAATTAGGAATATCATGGCGCTTATCATTCCGTTGAATGGCCCCTTCTGAGAAAAATATTGGGGTTTAAAGTACCCACGAGCGCCAGGGTTTTCGCCCCGTGGAGGAAAAAGCAAGAGAAAATTAACTCGAAAATTTAACTTTGCCGCCAATATTTTTCTTCAAAGGGGCCATTCAACGGAATGATAAGCGCCATGATATTCCTAATTTTTGGCTTGATTTTTCAGTATAACTCGTTAAACAATCCCGGTGTAGCTTGAAAAAAGGTTCCATTGTTAGAATATGATGATGAAAATTCGTAACATAATACATACTTGCGTGCTGTTAATTACTTAAGGCGAGAATGTTTCATTACTGAGGGATATTGAGACGTATGTACTTTTAAGTATCTAACTAATAAGGACTTTTGAGAATACTAATAAAATATGAGAAATTGACAAACTATTAAATCTCTAAGTTCATAGTGTTAAGGGGTGGCCATTGAACATACATTCATATAGAAGGTGCAGAATAATAAGAATGCAAAAGCCACATTGAGATCAAAATTGACCAATACGACGACAGGGATCCGTTTTCGACCCCTCCCACCCATGGCCAACCAATCAGAAAATTCTTCAAATTAAATATTATTTATTGTACCCCTTTTTAATTCCCGGGGTCCAACATTGTCAAAAATGCAGTAAATCTTACAGGTTGGATGCCAACCTCAAAATAAAGACAGTGATCGAATTTGATGGTAACCGTGGGCCCCTTTGCATTATTTTTCATTGATTATAATGCAAAATTCTGGGCCCCGTATTCGACAGGATATTAATTATTATTTTTGGTTGTGTGGTAACAAAATATGCAAGTCGGGAATATTAGGTGAGAGAGTAATAAGTACATATTTGCAGCTATGGGAAGTAAGGTACTGTAAAAAGTCGATGTCAATTTAATTTTTAACCACTTTTTCATTTAGTTTGGAATTTTGAACACCATATCTATAATTTTACACAATATAATTTGTACATATAACAAAGACATTGGCATACATATATTCACGAAAATGCACACAGCACAGGAATATTGTAACTTATAATTGTTGAATCTTGAAACCTGAAAAAAATAACACGCTTTATTAATATTAATTTAATTCGCCTAACATGCATTACAAGTACGGTTGGGATTGCAAACTACGAAATCAGTCATAAACTTTTGCATAACATGAATGTATATGTATTTATTTTCTCGCATTTTAAAATGTATTATTTTGCCCCAAATACTTGAACATGCCGGTTGATGAGTTGGAAGAGAAAGAAGACGGCATGTACGTGACATTGAACTTGATCTTGAGAAGAAGGGGAGTTTTTAGTAGTCTTTTAGAGTCGTAATGTAGCTGTCGAGGAGAGTAGTAGTAGAATTGTAATTCGGCAGCATTGTGCAAAATTAATAGTTGTTCAAATTAATAAGAAATAAGTTGGTGACAATATATTGGGGTGTTGCTATTAATAGAAATCATCCATTTGTTGTTCACATCATTATTATAAAGAGGATTTCGTAGTTCATCCTGCTCATTCTTCTGACGCACAAACATCACGCAAAACAGGGATAAGCTCGCTGCTGGTAGTGGGAGTCGTTATTCCAAATAAACTCCGTTTCAAGTTACTTGAGTTCCCCGCCTTGAGTAGATTACATTACATTAGCCGAATGAGCCGAATTATTTTATTATTTGACACCACTTGTTTTTATTTTGGCGTTAAAATCATACGAAATTGAATAATTTAAACGCCAAAATAAAAATAACAGGTCTCAATTAATAAAATAATTCGGATCGTTCGGGTAATGTACTCCATGTGACCAAATCAAGTAACGTGAAACGGAGTTTAGTACTCATGTGCCTTCCCAAATTATTCCGTACTTATAAATGATCTAAAATTGTGAGTCATTACCAGATTTGAAGAAATAAATGCACATGCATAACCTGAACTAAAAATTGTTTAATCGAAACCTCCTGCGTCTCAGTTCTTTGCCACCACTTTCTTGGAAGGACCAGCGTCAAGAATTTCCAGTTTTCGTTTCCGAACGTTAAGTATTGCTGGATTTTGATACCTCTGATAACCCAAGTACCACAGCACCTTTTAACAATATAATAAAATAGTCATCTATTTACCGGTTGTGATTTTTTGTATGGAATAATTTTAATAGAATAACTTACCGTACAAATATGTGCACAAAAACCTAATGTTCGAGCGCCTTGCTTACACCTGCAATAGAAATCCTTGATGGCGTCAGCACCTTTAACTTCTGGGCCGGAGGAATATTCGATCCACAGGTCGTGGCTTTTATTCGCTGTAAATCTTGACTCAATCTTTGCTAGAACGATGTTTGTAAACTCCGAGTTCAGTTTTATTTCAAAGTTTGGAGAATTTTTCATGCTTCACGAGACAAATGCTCAAATCCAAGGTACTTCTTAACGAAATGGTTGTCGAGAGCTGTTGCAACTGCTTCAATGGTCTCACTAACGCATGACTTTCCAAAAAGACTGCTCAGAACTTTCTGCATACCATGGTATATCAGCATTTAGTACTCATTCTAGTGAATATTAATACCTGAGACAAATTGTGGCGAAACAGCATAAGGAAGATGGCCAACGCATTTCGGACACTTCTGTTTACACTGTTATGTACATGTCCTGATATTTCTGCCAGCAGCGAGTTGAACTGAATTTTTGAGAATTCCACAAGATTTGGGTAGTCGTCCCTCTCTACGTCAGTTTGATCGTCGAAATTGTAACGACGTCTTCTTGCACCTAACTTGGTTTTGTTACTGCTAAGATCCAGAATCCACCGTGCTAGCTCTTCATCCGACATCAAGACA